ATATAATATATATATATATATATATATATGGAAGGCCATGTCAATACTAGTATCATTGGATATAACTTTTATTCTTAATCAGAGGGCGAACTGATTAGAGAAGAATTTTTAGTAGATTTTTAGTAGATACACAGACTAATATTTGTGTGATTAAAGAGGTTCTTTTGACCTATTCTTCAGAATAAACAAACCCCTACAGTTAAAATGCAAAGATGCCTGTCATCTAAGTATTGAAAGAATGTTTGCCTTATCAAGAGTTGTTTTTAAAAAGTTTAATGAATTCATTGCAATTCTTTGCAAACAAAAGAAGGGCAGATACTGGGCTTCTACATGCTATCCTTAAGAGCTTCTCCCCCTCACCCATTCCTAGTGCTCTTGGTATACGCTTGGGAGAATTATGTCCTCCAGGAGAAAGTGTTAGAGGGAACTGACATTTTAGGAATGCTTATTCAGAAAAAAATCCTAGAGTTGATTCATTGTTTTCCTCCATTCTGCAAAAGAAGATCCCTTTGTTAAGCAGCTCACTTGGGAATATGATTCTTGGAGTCAATGATCTCTAAACAAACTGGATTATCAACTATTTACAATGTCTATACAGTATAAACTACCTCACTCGCCTTTCTTGGGAAAAAAAAAAATGAATGGACTTTAACAATTGTTGTTACAAACTGTGCCTGAATCTTATTATTTAAATCCCTTCAATTAGCTTTCAGTGTATGTTTAATAATATACATTTAATGACGAAAAACTTTTTCAGCAAAGCTTTAAAAGCAGAAATACTGTGTAACTGTGATCTGTGTGGTATACTCTGAGAGAATTCTGTGTGGTATACTCTGAGAGAATTCTGTGTGGTATACTCTGAGAGAATTCTGTGCCCTGCTCATTGTCTTGAGTTTCTAACCACGTGCAGACGTGAGTGTTCAGGAGTAGGAATTAATGTCCATCTTTCCTTTCAGGCATTTTCATCTGGTGTCCACCTATTTCACTTGACTGAAAGCTCACATGAGTTAAAATGTCCCTTCTTCCTAGCAGGCGTATTTCAACTGTTTTTCATAAACGTTTATTTGCCTTAAAAGACTTTGTGTTAAGGGATTAAATAGTTTCTCTGACAGGTAGTTTTTAACTATTTTCTACAAATAAAAATAATACGACATGGGATTAGAGTGTGTGTTTTCAAGCATTTTTAACAGTTTTACACACTTACATACACCTTAATTAAAAATTTTTGTTTCTGTCAGACATTTACCAACTATTTTCTAAAACTAATTTGATTGACAAATCATGACACTAGAAAACACCAATGTTTTAAGTCTTTGCCCATCTCAAAAGCTAATAATGATTCTTCTGTTCCATCAGCTTTCATTGTTAAGTAGAATATGTATGTTGCATTTTATCCTTAAGAAATAAAGAGAAAAACACTAAAAACATTGTATGAGAATTCTTCTACTTGGCTATTCCAAGGGCACAGTGATGCTAGGGATGATTTTTGCCTTAAGGAAATATTTGGCAATACCTGGAAACAGATGTTTCCAAATGTTCTTGTTTTTGAAGAGTAACTTACCAGGTTCTCACCACCAGGGGGTGAGAGGGCGCTGCCAGCCTCTGGTGAGTGAGAAGCCAAGGATCCTGCCGATCCCACTCCAGTGCACAGGACAGCCCTGCAACACAGAATTATCCAGCCTGGCCCTGGCACAGTGGCTCACACCTGTAATCCAGCACTTTGGGAGGTGAGGCGGGTGGATCACCTGAGGTCAGGAGTTTGAGACCAGCCTGGCCAACATGGTGAAACCCCATCTTTAGTAAAAATACAAAAATTAGCCAGGCACAGTGGTGTGTGCCTATAATCCTAGCTACTCGGGAGGATGAGGCAGGAGAATCACTTGAACCCAGGAGGCGGAGGTGGCAGTGAGCCAAGATGGTACCACTGCACTCTAGCCTGGAAGAAACAGCAAGACTCTGTCCAAAAAAAAAAGAATTATT